TTCCACACATTTTCACATATTTCGGGACACCCAGTATATAACCTACATTTCAAACTAAAATGAATCAATCTGTATACGAATCGGGATATAACGCGATTAATATAGAAGGGCAAAACAGCCATTAAAAAGGGTCGTTAGTAGGGAATGTATATGCACCCTATTAAGTCGTTTCGATCAGATATGCAGTATTTAGCACCCCTTATACATATAAAATCTTCTGAAGTCGGGGCTGTAGCTATATATAGGTAATGTTACTCTCTAGGTATTAGAGACTGGTATTTAGGCACTATTGATTTTATATCGTGAAATAATAATTAAAGAGAATGAATATATAGAAAGAATGAGGTTGTGCATTCACGTTTTGGTACCTAACTGTATAGATTGAATAGGTAGAGATTTAATTTAATGGTATGGTATATAACCGAGCATCAAGTTCGAGCGCTGCAATCAGTAGAAAGAGAGAATCAGTCGAACTGAGGAGAGGAGCGGTTTCGGCGCGATAAATCGGCGGACGAATGCAGGACTCCAAGGTGACCGCTCGGTATACAGGGTGGCCCAGAACTCACGCCCCACCGGGCAATGCTTTAAGGAAACGACCATGATGGAGATGCCAAAACTGCAACCACAGCATGAAAAAGTTGTTCCTTTGGTAAATAAATTGTTGTTTCAATTGTGGTTTCTTGTTTCCATTGCATAAGGTATTTCCCGGTGGGGCTTGAGTTCTGGGCCACCCTGTAGATATATTATCAGCATTAAATTTTCTTTTTTCTAGAGAGGCCAAATTATTAATATCTAAGTTTAGGTACCTACACACATTTTACAACTGTATTATATCTATTAATTTATTTGCATAATTGTTACAGATTGAAAAAATAAAATGTATTTTGTCGCAACTGCAACTAAAAACATCAACTCGTCATATGTCATAACTACTTAGGTACTATTAATGAAAACACCCATTTCTTAAGTCAATTAGAATGTTTCCCTTGATTATCATTTTTACAATACAATTTTCCCATCAACCGAATAGGTACCACGGATATCCACTTTTTCTCCAGTACACCCACGTCCTTTCCATACAAATTCACCCCCTCGACCTAGCAAGTCAAAATTCCCTCCCATCATCCCAACAAAAAAAAAACCAACACACCACAGGGGCACTCAAAAACCATCCGATTCCTCCTAAATATCCCACCAATAATCACCTATAAGGGGCCGGATCGCTAGGCGGCGCTCTTCCCTTTCCCGTTCCAAGGCGACCAATACCCGTCGACTCGGCCTCGACCGGTGGGGACCCGCCGCAATCCAGCCAGAAAAACCGGCCACCTCCTCGACGATGCCGCACTCATGTTCGCCTATCACCTGGGGTGTATGACCTTAGCGTTGCTCTAATGTCGTACGAAGTGTGTTGTTGCTAGGCGACGGTTTGCGTAGCCTTGGACGCGAATGCTCGTTTCACGAAACGCTAGGTTCATTACACGGTGGAGTTTGATTAGGCTGCTTTTGTAAGTACGAGTGTACGAGCAAGAGTCCGGCCGGTCTCGTTGTTTTTTTTTTTTTTGTCGATATATAAATTTAATTTATATAAAGCGGGAAAAATCGTCGTAGGTCTATACTGGGCAAAATGAGGTCAATTATTTTATAATACGGTAGGTCAACTGGGCAAAGGGATTACCTATACATTTCTAAGAATACTTATATAGATTAAATAATCAGAATCATTTTAGAAATTTATTTTACCTGTGTTCAAATTTGAATTGAAGTTGAAATTCGAGGAAATTTTGATTCGTTGGATATCTTGTATGTACCTACTAAATAATCACATTAATATTTGTTATTTTGAAAAATGACGTACCAACATACAAGTACTTAGGTACAGATAGATGTATACATTTTGAAACATATAATTCGGGAAGAAACTCAAAACAAAATTGATCTACAGAGACAGCATAGTAAACTAGTACATTAATGAGATTATCGAATTTTCGAGAAAAGCGATTAAGGAGCAGGTAAAAATATTGGAAATTGCCCAGTTGACCTATCATGAGACAGGTCTATGTGGATAATTATTATCAGCTAATAAAATTTTTGCCCAGTTGACCTGCGTCCGGAAAAATAGGCGGGTTGGTTGTATTTTGTTGTGGGTTAGGTGCTATAGTCCTGAATTATTATAGCATGCATTAATTAAAATATTTTGATTAGTTTTATAAATATCCAGAATGTATTGGAATATTATTTATCTACGATGGCGAATCAAATATGAACCGGAATTTTGCTTTAAAAAATTTATTAGTAAATTAAATATAATTTTGAATATATCTAATTTTTTTATGTAGTCTCCTCTTTTATTACCACAAATTTCCTACCGAATCGGAAGTTTTTTAATGCCGTAATCAAATAATGAATCTGGTCGTGTCTGTAGTCAATTGCGCACAAACGTTTCCACATCTTCGTAGTCGTTGAAGTGATGACTTCCTAGTTATTCTGTAAGTGGCCTAAACATGTAATGGTTACATAGCGATAAATCGGGAATGTAGGGCGGTTGTTCTAGAGTATTTTCCAATGTATTTTGTTCAAGTTTTCTTGAATTAATGCAGCTGTGCGTGGCCGAACTTTGCCATCGAGCAAAATCGCACTTCGAATATGCTAGTACTCTCTTTTTCGTCGATAGTCGAGCTTCAATTCATCAAAAAGTTGGCAGAGTACACCCTTAAATTCACGTCATTCATTGAGAAAATTTATGAGCTATATGCTCCCTGCAATCCCAAAAAATCGTTGCATGAACTTTCCCAGGAGAAAGACGAATCTTGTCTTTTTTGTATTTCTGTTCCTCCAGTTTTTCACATTTCTTTTTTACCAATCGTAGACATGGATCCTTGAAAGCATGTTTCCAGTGAACTGTGTTAGTTGTTGTTGTTTTTATGCGACTGTGTTAGTTACTCGACGCAAAATTTTGGCTCTCCCGCGATAAAAATTTAATATTAAACCGTTGCTCAACGGATCTGTGCACCTCTTGCTCAGACATGATGGTAATAACAGCCAATCGGCTCTAACGAGGCAAACTGATTTACCCACCTTTACTTTACATCCCCATGCAACATATATCAAGACGTCATATTACTCAGCTTAAATAGGGATGATTTAAAAGAAAATTCCGCGGTTCATATTTGATTCGCCCTCGTATTTATACCGTCAACTGTTACCTTATAGGAGCGCATACCAGAACTACGCTTGAAATTTATCTGAATTTTAATCCGATACAGAAATTCTACACCAAAAATTTTGTTATCTAATTCCCCATACACAGTTGCCATCAAGATATTAATAAGTTAGAAAAATGTGTTCTGCTGGATAGAAGACGTCTAATACTGCTAGCGCTAATTCTCATCAAATGGGAAAAAAGCGAGGAAACAAAAGGGAGACTCGATGGAAAAATCGAGGATTCTGTGGGTTCATCCTTTGTTACAAACTAGATATTTAGAAGGCACGTTTTCAAAACTTTCAATTACTTTCAGCCCATCATTTGGCATGCATTATTACTTTTCTTTATTTTATGGTTATATAATCGTCCTAACGGGTTTTATCCCAAAGGGACAGGGCCTTTATATACTAATTAAAGAGTAAAAGAAGGAGTGATATTGTGCTATATTTTACATCAACTTTGTAATTCTAACCACTGTTATTTTAATAATATTCCTTTGTTTAACTCGTACAGAATAGACCATATTGCAAACAAATTTTCATCTACCCATAGGTAGGTAAATACCATAGACCTATTAACTATGGACGCGGTTTAGACAAAGAGGTAGTGTTGTCGATGAATGAGAGAGATGCAGCTAGTTTGGGCATATGGCAATGAGAGATTGAACAAAGCATTAGCCAATAGTAAGAAAGCAAAAGACCACGTGAGTTACGTTTTCACATATATGCAAGGTAGCTGGGGTAGAGGAGGGTAGCTTATGGTAGAATAGGGTTGAGGAGTGCAGCGGAGGGTATTGTGATTTTTTATTTTTTTGTCGAGCAAAATGCATTTTTCAGCTGAGCCTAAATTCCCACGCATTTGCAAATACAGTTCTTATTTTGTATTGTTAATTGGAACATCCTACCTATTAGCCAGTACAGATTTCGCAATTTAAGACCTATAACTGCTTTCTCTTGTAAAAAATATGTTTCTTACTGGTCATTCTTCTGTCCAAGTGGATACCCAGATAAAAACTATATTTAAATATTAAGCGTATAAATAATTTAACAGATTAATAGCCTTTTTTCACGCACCCTGTATATATTATATATTTTTTTGGACCCGCCTACTTTTAGCCCAAACTAGCTCCATCTCTCACGGACCTCTCTCTCTATCATTGGGAACGCTGAATACCCTTTCGAATACCCTCAAAATAACGATAGTGCCGCGCCCTACCCTACCTAAGCATATTTTTTACAAGAGAAAGCAGTTAGGTCTTAAATTGCGAAATCTGTACTTACTAATAGGTAGGATGTTCCAATTAACAATACAAAATAAGAACTATATATTTGCAAATGCGTGGGAATTTAGGCTCAGCTGAAAAATACATTTTGCTCGGCAAAAAAATAATAAATCACAATACCCACCGCTGCACTTCTCAACCCTATTCTACCATAAGCTGCCCTCCTCTACCCCAGCTACCTTGCATATCTGAAAACGTAACTCACGTGGTCTTTTGCTTTCTTACTATTGGCTAAAGCATTGTCCAATCTCTCATTGCCATATGCCCAAACTAGCTGCATCTCTCTCATTCATCGACAACACTACCTCTTTGTCTAAACCGCGTCCATAGTTAATATACGGCTATGGGTAAATACGTTTACCATATTTTGACATAAATCAACAATTTACATTGACATCATTCCGACGTATACACTATCAATTAGACATGAACCATTAACTTCTCAAAACAACCTGTTTTCAAAATTAAATGTAGTCGAAACCGTTAAGTGTTTTGTATTAATGCATCACAACCATCATGCACCGCAAGCGTTTCCCATGCGCCAATTTCAACCGCCCCGGACTCACATCAGGCGTCGGGCCACCTGGCTATTACCAAAGATACCGCTCCTGCAGGCTGCGGGGCGTCAATAACGACAAACGGCACGGCAAATATTTGAAGCACATCTTCAATGCGCTGAAGAACAAGACCAGCTCCGAATTGGTGACGTTCATCAACGTCAATTCCGTGCCCAACGAGATTGAGTACGACATTTCTAATAACGCGCTATCAGGAGGAAAATGTTACACGACTTATCCTGTACAGGCCAGGAGGACGTTCGAATGTGACGAAACTGCTACTAGCACTTGGAAGAGTAGTCGGAGCAGTCGGCCAATAAGAGGTAAATAAGAATTATTATTCATGCATGCAGAATATGGGTAAATTTGTATAAAGATAAAAGTTCACGCGTTTGTGTCGTAAAATTTCGTTTTAAATTTATAGTCTCACCTAATTTATAATTTGCGCATCTCTTTTATTTTTTATACACATATTTCTCGACTATGAGTCTTTCTCTGCCTAAGTAGGATAAGTTTGCTCAAGTCATACCAACTTGAAGTTTGTAAAGGGTGTTTCAATAAGAGCGCAAGATTTTAAGGTTCAATAAAACAATGTTACCTGTAGCAAAACCTGTGACTACAAGTAACCCCACAGCCAAAAGTCCAAAGGTGCTAAATCACAAAAACGTGGCGGCCAATTCTGGTCACCAACCCGGGAAATGATCCGATCGGGAGTAATGTTTAACAATTAGGGCGCGATTATGTTCTATATCCAGATCCATATGCAGATTCAATGATCCATATTTACTAACTCCCAACTTTCAACTTTCGATCTGTCATGTTATAATCACGTGTTATTATGACTGTCAAACATGACAGGCAATTCAAATTTTGCGGTCTTATTGAACCATCCTTTAACGAAACAATTTTGTATCGAAACAAATCTGCAATACATTTACCATTTATTTAATAATTTGTTTGCATTAATTTATTAACTGGCCAATTATTTATTGGATTCAGATTCGAACATCACGATGGCCTCATTTAGAGTTATCATCGGTAACGAAATGACCCAAGCGAAATTCGCGGCGAGGGATACGAATAATTCAGTGGAGCAAATCGCCGAAACTTCCGACGAAGATAATGCTAACGAGGAATTTTGCGAATACAAACCAACCGATAATTTTTTCGACAAAGGTAAATTGCCAACAAAGCAATCGTACAGGGTGGTCCTCTAAGAATGGCCCTCGGCTATATCTCGCAAACTAATAGTCGTAGACTTTAGGTAAAAAAACTTATAACTAAATTGGCCAAAAGAAAATGCTGGAAATTATTTTTAAATCTCTAAAATGACCGCTAGAGGGAGTATCCACCGTCTTCATTTTTAAAAGTAATTTTTTTCTAAATTTTCGCCAATAAAGGTTTTAAAAGTATATTTTATTTTGATAGTGGAGATAATTTCGATTTATTTTTGTTAATAACTTTTAAACGGCTGAACGGATTTTCATATAAAAATGAAATCGTTGAAAAGAGCTTCCTTTGACCTATAACTTGCACTGCGTAAGATATTATTGCAAGTGTTTGCTTGGCCGCAAGAGGGCGTTTTCCGACATTACCTCAAAAAACACCGATTTTCTTAAAACATTTAAATGCAAAGTTATACATTTTTTTTGGAAAAAATAGTCAAATAATTGCCAAACATACCTGTGAAAACCGCATCTCGATACCCCTTCCTAGCCTAAAATATATTTAAAAAAAGCAATAACCCAAAAAATTAGGTACCTAATTAGGAATATTTTTGGAACACCTTCCATTATAAAAGCTTCTAATTAACGTTGTTCAATCCACAAAATTAACCAATTTATTATTAATATCAAGAATGATATTAAAAAACTACAAGCCAATTAACATTCATTCAATAATTATTGGATTTTCCTTCTATTTGCACTGGTAAGTGTATTATACACCGGCGCACCTGAATTTCGCTCCAAAATAAAAGTCCTTTTTGCAGATAAAAGGGAGAGTACCTATAGAGATTATTGAGAGTATAAAAAGAGTATAGAGAGTATAGAGAATATAGAGAATATAGAGAATATAGAGAGACAAATTTTCAAATTAAAATTCCAATTTTTTGTGTCCACTGCAGATAAAGTTGACCAGATAAAAATGGTTATTATTAATTTTACGACGAAAAGCCATTCTTTATAAAAAAATTAACTTGTCGAGAAAATGAGATTCACATATCAAAACATTAGATAAGATGTATAGGGTGTTAGTAAATTAAGAAGCAGGAAAAAATTTCAAGAAAGAACGAAATAATTTTTATTATCTTACACATTTGAAAATTTGAATTCAGGCTTTATTTTAGATTATAAACAACTTTCTTTTATAAAAATTTTGTGTAAAATAAAAAATAATGGTATTCTTCCCTTGAGGTATTTTCATGTTTTCTTAATTTGGCAACACCCTGTAGATCCAATCTAAAATTTTTCAGTGTTATTTTCATTTTTAAAAGAAGCAAAAATTTTTATAAAGAATGACTTTTTGTCGTAAAATGAATAATAACAATTTTTCTCCTATAGGCAACCCCATCCGTGGACACACTGTATATTAGAGAATACAGCGAGTATAATAGAGAATATATTAGAGAATACAGAGAGTATAGATAATATAGAGAGTATAGAGAGTAAACTATAGAGTTTCAAACTTCTAGGTGCACTATTACCAGAAATATCATAGAGGTATGAAAATGCATTCGACCGTTTTTCCAAAAAATTTCGAAAAAAATTAAATAACTTAAAAGTGGCGTATTTTTGGCATATGGTGTTATTATCATAGCCTATAAGTTAAAAAGAACCACAGAGTCCAAAAATTAAGTCAAAAATGGTACTTTCCATTAAAAATAACGAAGTTGACATCCACTTCCGGTGTAACCGGAAATCACATATGGTTGAAAATATTTTAGAAAAACTCACAACATTGATTATTCTTTACTCCTAAATTTTCAGATCTCTAACTCTTCAGAATCTCCTATAACTTCTAATGGACGGTTTCCTTGAAAAGCACTGTTTACATTGTTCTATTACAGTACTATCCCTATTCAAATCGGACAACAACAAATCGGGCGGTGATGAGCTAAAGCTGGAGCCGATATTCCGGAACAGCAATTGTAAATGCTCGGATACGGTGATCAAATTGAGCGAGAGCAAACCGAAGAGGCGGATCGACTGTAAATGTTCGGCGACCGTCGTCAAATTGGACAAGTTTAAATGCGATCAGTGCGGGAAAATCGATTTGGAGAAAATAGACGAGAGCAAGTCGACTGGCGACGAGGAGGCTTTGCTGGCGCTGTTGAACATGGAGGCGAATCGGAATTGCGATCAGATTGGGAATATACAAGCGCAATTAAATGTGAGATATTGATGTTATTTAAATTTGTATAGGTATAAGGTTTAGAGAAGTTATTTAGATCTGTTCATGTAAGTCCCCGATGATGATTGGAATTTTTTTTAAACTGAGTAAAAAGGGAATGGTTTTAAATGAGAACAATGTTGCGGAATTAGAAAGGCATTAAACTAGTGCTAACAGATTTTGAATATTCATTTTCACTTTCGAATTATTTTATTTTTCTTTTTCTTAGAGAACTCAAAGTATGTTTCTTTTAGGAACAAATCAACAGAATAGAAGACTTAAACAGAAAATTTACAAGTTTGTTACAATTGGTTACTTCGAAGAGGTAAAAAAGATTTACTTACATTTCTATTTTGTTATAGGAAAAATTATATTTTGCAGCCTACACACTTTCTAAATAACACTTTTTTCAATCATTATTACTTATTGTTAATTGCAGCTACACTCAAGGCGATCTTGCAGATGTATCTACCGAAACAGTGCCTGCTGGAAATAAGCAAGTGGAAGCACAGTTAAAAGTTACTCCTCTACATCTTCTATACACTTTTTTTAATAAATTTATTGATAAAAATAATTTCAGCTCTCTGATGATAGCTGTACGTGCTATCTGAAGAAAAAACCCAGCTTCTTCGCTAGAATCTTCAAGAAATCGAAATGCAACACAAGCTGCAAATGCTGCATCGTACCGGCTCACGACAAAAAACAATGCCACTATTATTCGAACAAAAAAAAGAAGAAAAATGAAGAGAAGAACGACGATCAACAACTACGACAGGGCGCAACATAATTTGACAAATTTCCCAAATTTCTGGCAACCCGTCGAAAATGCCATCGAAATTTCAAAATTACCTGTAACTAAACCCATTCCGATTTCCATGTTGCATTTATCGCTCGATAGCCGCATCCATGCATTACAGGCACATCGACAAGTATAGTTTGTGTACGAGTCCGAGCGCATCCTACTACTCGTTCGTCGACCGGTCCAGCCGCGTTTCCCGTCCATACGGAGAAGCCGGACTGTCGAGTCGACCCTCCGGGAACTCCGAATGCGATGGACGGTGCCACGGCAAATACCTCAAGCACATTTTCGACGCGCTCAAGAGGAAGACCAGCTCCGAATTGGAGGAATTCATCAACGTCAATTCGGCGGCCAGCGAATTGGAGTGCGAAGTGTCGGATTTTTCGTTTGTGAACGGATCGTTGGAAGGTGGATTGCGGGATTTTTGCAGTAATTATCAAGTGTATGGCGTCAGCACGTCGGATAAGCGAATTGGATGCGATTGCCCCGAATTAGAGGAAGTTTATTCTAATAGTTACAGAGATAGACAAACAGGTAATTAAAGAACTTTTATTGGGTAGAGTAAGTGCGCCGTACATGGACCACTATAAGCACTTTTCTCAATAAAAAGTCGAATTTTTAATTTTACTCAGCTTTATTTGTTTTATACAATTCCTTAACCAATTACTTAGTTAAGAAAAACTCATATAATAAAATTCTCAAAAAAAAAACAAAATCTTTAAAATAAACAACATTTTCTAAAGTATAGGTATATCATTTTTTATAAACGCATTCAGAGAGTGAACATAATGTGCACCACATCCAGATTTTTCCATTTCTAGAATATAATTGACTAATTCATCTTCCAATTCACTCAGTCCCAAGTATTTGGGTGGTGATATCATTAAGTGATTTATTTTGAGTTTATGTTTTGGAAGCATTCAAAAAGCCCATTTTCTCTTCTCGTGCATTTTTAATTGCCTCCTCCATTGCGTTTTTTATCCCATGCTTGTCTAGTCTTCTCTATTGTTTTAGAAGCCATTCTAGAACATAAAAATTAGTTTTTAGCCACTCCATATTTAAAACGTGCCACTGGTCCATATTGTGATACTTATATTATTTTTTAGAAAATTGGAATATTATAGAGTATTAAAACTTAATAATAATACAAATAATACAAATAATTGTGGTCTATCCACTTTCACATAAAACAGTATTTTTGGATTAAAAAACTTCCAAAGTTCGCTAGAAAATTACATCGCGTGTTACAGAAAATAAAAAAAAGGTTGTCGTAAATATATGTGTGCATCCTGGATCGCTGCAAGCGACAGATGGATCAAGGGAGGAATGATTCTTAGTGTGTGATGATCATTTACTCGATATAAAGAAAGTTCTTCTTAAAATAAAGGTCCATATTATAAGACCGGTTCATATTTTGTGCACTTATCGGTACTCTACTTTTAATGAAACTGCATGGTGAGTTTTAGCTCTTTTCTTATATCTTCCCGTAAGATATTTTAGTTTCCTCCAACAAAAGTCGAGAGTATAAAAGCTGTATGCATCTTAGAACGTTCATACATTTTTGCAGAAAATATAATAAGAAATCCGCCATTCTATATAAAAATAAGTTCTTTTTTAGCTCTCATTATGCCCAACTATTTTGTTATGATTCAATTATATAATATAACTAATAATTCATAATTTATCTTTGCGGTATATTTTTGATTACAGTTGTGACTTGCCCCAATTTAATCCCGCCCGAAAAAACAACACCGGAGCCGCAAAAAAACCTAACAGATAAATCGAATAAGGACATCAAGAATCGTCCTTACCGAGAAGTGTACGAAGAAAAATCGGACAAAACCGGCTTCCTGGACAGAGGTGAACAATCACTTCTCCAAACTCATTTCGAACCTTTATAAGAATTGTCTATTTTTATTAGTGTACTCCATGTTCAGGGGTAAAATAGACTCCTGCGCTTGTACGGAAGCGTCTCAGGACCCGAAAAGATTCAGCGAAGCGAACGGCAAGGCCAAATGCAACTCGTTGAATCGCTACAAATGCAACCGATGCGGCAAGCTCGATTTGGAGAAATTGGACAAGCGATGTCCGAAGTTGAGGCTCGAAGAGGATGCTTTGTTGTTTCTGCTGAAGCTGGAGGCCAAGCAGAACTTTAAACAAATCAAGTCCATTCAGAGACAGCTAAAGGTAAAGTTGCATATTGAGATTGTTCTCCCATATAAGGAACTATAGATTTTGTACTTCTCCTAATTTTCCACAAAATTTTTCTGCATGATATACTAATATATGAATATACCGGGTGGTCAGATAAGAACGTATAATGTACTTTTTCTCGCAAACTAAGTATATTCGTCGTAGAGACTTGTGCATTAAAAAGTTGTCTCATAAATCGCCTTTATTTACCCATGCAGTAGGTACCTTTATTTTTTAACCACTTATTTAAACCCTAAATTTATTTAAACACCTATCAATTTTCGGCTATATTTTCTCGGGATATCTTTAAAATTTTGGCCGCGTCGTAGAGTAAACAAATTTTTGAAGAGCATGGACAGGGACGGGGATATTTTATTTAATATATACAAAAAAAGAATTTTAGGCCATATAGGCGGGTCCCTTCAATACAGTACTTTACGTTCTTATCTGATCACCCGGTATACAATAATTGTTTTAGTGCCATCTAGAAAAGTTAAACGACATGAACCAAAAATACGTGAGTCTGGTGAAAATAATTGCTCCTGAAAAGTAAGTGAAGATTTAAAAAAACCTATTTTTTATAATTATATAAAAGCATTAACAAAAATACCTTTTATTTATCTAATTAATTTCAGATTAGAAAAAACGGACATGTACATATCAACTGATACTGTTTTTACCAGAGATCAACAAAGCCAGGTACATAAGCCAATTAAACATTACAAAATAATAGCACACTTATAGATTTTCCTCTATAAACGTTATAATTTGGCGAGAAAAAGGCCAAATTTTGAGATTTTTTTAAACGCTACAGATTGTTCAAATTTATTTAATATAGATTGTGATATTGCCCTGTAGTTTTGGCATCTCCATTGTCATTTCCATAAGACCTTTCCCGGTGGGGCGTGAGTTCTGGGCCATCCTGTATATTGACAAATATCTCCTTAATTTTTGAGAGCAAAATTTTAATAATTTAGGATGTCTTTAATTTTAGAAAACCAGCATCAGTTGCGTCTGCGCAACGAAGAAGAAACCAAGTTTCATGTGTAGATTGTTCAAAAAATCAAAGTGCGATACGAGCTGCAAATGCTGTGTTCGCATGACTCCGGATAAAAGCAGATGCCAGCATTTCATGAAAAAAGAGAAACCGAAGAAAACGAAAAGCGAGAAATTAAAAAAGCACGAGGATAAGAAAAAGGTGCACTCGAAGGAGTGCGAATGTCCTTGAAACAAACACTAATGTGTCCAAATTGAAGCAGTTTGCTAGTCAAAATGGAACAAACATGATGGAGGTAATAGAAGCCAAAGATAAACATTTAATTGTAAATATATGTATAGTTATATGAAATAATGTAGATACTGGCAGAAATTTGTTGAATAGTTGAATAATTTCATTTTTTAGAACGATAAAATTACCCTAAAACCGACAAATTAAACGAAGAACCGGAAGAACGAAAACCATCAGTTGTAAACATAGGAAATGTACATCTACTTCCATAAATCAGTTGTTAATTGGAAAAATATTGTTTGTCGAATTTCGTGAAATGAATATAATTTTTGCCAATACCTTTATAACTTTTTTATTATAAAATTATTAATTGAATGGATGATTGGAAAGATAAAATTCCAAAAATATGGCGAATTAAAGTGACATACTTAATTTGTTCTAATTTCTCTTATAAGATATATAAGATATATCTTCCCGCTGAGAGCAAAAAAAAATGACTTCGTAAAGACTGACAAAGATGTTAAAAAAACAGTTTTTAGATTCTTTAACTATTTTTTGGATTTTGGATGGAAAAAGGATAACATTTTTATACTTTCAAATACTAGTACCAAAGAGTTATAAACCGTTCAAACTTTGTCAAAAAGTTTATTTTGACTTCACAAAAATAAGGTTCACTGGAATTTTATTCTTTTTCCAATTACCCACCCATTCAATTATTTGAATAAAAAATATACTATAATCAAACTCTAATTCTATATACGCATACATAGGTTGTATACATATGTAATTAAGTACGCAACTGCTTCGATTTCAAAAATATTCGATGAAAAAGTCACACTATAATACATATAAAATCGAACAAGATACAAGAAAAATTAATTAAAAAAAAAATATCAGAACCATGTGTTGCACCAGAAACTTAATGCTTTTCCTTAGTATTTTGCCACGCAAACTGCGTATAATAATATCGTATCGAACGCGAAGGATGTAGAAAATGGACTCGTCGCCGAACTGCGCCCCTATCGCAAATAAGTACTTTCATCTGTGACTCATGCAGGAGGGGAATGATTCACCCCAACTTAATAAATAAAATCGTCTTCGAAATTGTGCGCCCGCAAGGCAGGAGTAGGAAATTTATATGTATATCACTGTGTATTGGATTAAAATTATTTTAATTTGATTTGATTTTTTTGGAAAACGTTTTTTTGTAAATCAATGGAACGTTAAAATGGAAGAAAAAAAGAATGATATACATTATTTGTATCTTATCTTACATATAAATGATAGAAAAATGTAATCTAAATTAAAATGATTTGAACTGTTCCTTTAATGAAATAAAATAACGCCTCATTTATATGATAGATTAATAAGATACGCGCAAACAATTAAAATATATATAAATAAATAAAAAAACTTACTCCAGAGCCAACCCTGTAAACAGCACAAACAATGCAAATTCACTAATCTGACGTGACATAAATGAACCAATCAGGTAACAGAATCTTTTAGCGTCTTTCGAATTCCGATCTTCGATCTTCGTGTTCCGTGATTTGTTTTCTTTATTTCCGTTTTATAAATACCATCTTTGTGTTACGTTTAACGTGTCTATCAGTCTCTATTCCTTTGAATACCATTTCAGGAAGACGGATATCGATAAAATAACAGTGTACTCGTTTGTGCTAGTATTTGTGAATATGAATTCGAGAATCAAGAATCCCGTAATAACAAATCCATGGCTTTCTGCTGCTCCAAACGGAAAAGCCGCTCACTTCAAAAGCGATCTGCTGAAGAAATTCCTTAAAGTTAGGAACATCGGCGAAATGAGACGCCCCAAAGCGGAGCCCGTTCGAAAAACCAAGGCTACCGTGACGAAATTGTACACAGAACAATTGTCTCCTCTCTACCCGGAATTCATGAAATGCCAAATCAAGGCGGCTTTGACTTTGTCGGACAACAATTTGCACGAAGCCCGTCTGTTGCTTGATTACAAGTACAAAATTATTAGGATCAAGAACAGCATTGCCGCTCAGCTAAGGCGGAGTTCCTTAAATTTCAGGCCGTTTTTGAGAAAATACGGTAGCGGAAATTCAACTTCGACGTCGTTCAGTGATGATATTGTGTCTTTCGGGAACGGACAATCGTCGTTTAGTTTTAGTTCTAATTCGAGTGATTTTCCTTATTTAAATGGCGGTGCAAATGAATCTACGGCTGTAATGAGTGATGTAAAATCGTGGAACGAGGAATCTGCGGTTGATTCGCACGAAACGAAAGCGATTCTGTCGGAGACAATGGAGCCGACGACAAACTTTGAAATTGGTTCCCCGAAAAGTGAAAATGTTGATGTTCAAAAAGGAAAAGTTGGCGTTGTTCTGATGAAAAATTCGACTGGGTCTGGTTACACGGTCTCTCCTCTCTAAGGTCATCGGTGAGATTATTAAAATGTAAGTTACATAAAACAGTCTTATAAATTTTAAAAAAGAAAACTTAAGACATTTTATGTTAATTAGTTTAAATTTTGATTCCTTCCATTTGAATGGTATGACAACTGACAAACCAATGTTATCCGTCAATGTCAAATTTCTTCTTTTTGTTGTATTAATTACGTTGGCTGTATTTGGCCCACGAAAAAATTTTCACAACTTGAAAATGTTTACTTAAATGTTTGTTGTTACTTTGTTGATTTTTAAGTTGATATGGAAATGTACACAAATGCATATCTTATAAAAATTTTTGGTTAGAACAGAGCAGGCCAGTGTAACTCAAATTATGTATATTTGTTCCTATTAATGTTTAATGGTTATAAAGTATCAATGTTGATGTTCTATATTTTATAATGTACCTACCAGTTTCTACTCTTATTACCTGATAATAATGTAAACCTTAATGTTTTTGTTATTTTTTAGTTATGTTGACTTTTTTTGTACTTTTTCTAGTGTTTATGAGTTAGTATTGTTGTAAATTATAATACAATTATACAATATTTTCTAAATATGTTACCTATTGTTACTTACTAGTTGTGTAGTTATACTCAATTAAAAATTGAAAAATCAATGAAAAGAATATTAATTGTGAAATGTACCCTAAAAGTATGCAACCCGTTTTACATATTGAAAAGTTTCTTTTTACTATTAATATATTAGTGAATTTAAAAATGTTAAGACATCACTTTTTGCTTTTCAACTTAACGTAGAAATTTTTAAGCGACTATATTTTTTCAAATCGGAATTAAATTAGAAAATATGAAAACAAAAAATTCGTACAGCCTATATAAGAAAAGGCGCTTATTTTGATAAGAAAAGAAAACTGAAGAATGTCAATATTGTCAATTATAATTAGGTTATGTGATTTGTTGATATTTATCTAATATTATTTAATATTCAGTAAACGTGACTGTTTTAATTAACGTAATCAATATGGAAAGATACTCAAGAATATTATACCAACTGCATCGGGTTTCGCTACAAAAATATCAAACTTTTACTAGTGGATTAATAAGCTCAGCAAAATTTAGTACGAAAAACTCATCCAATATTTGTTGGAAATGTGGTAAAGACAAAACCAGCATTGCAATGTTTTGCGAAAAGTGCCATAGCATTCAAGCGCCCGTGCACACGAACAATTACTTTAAAATGTTCGAAATCGAAGAGGGCTACAGCATAGACACCAATTTACTTAAAGACAAGTTCAGAAAATATCAGAACCTCATTCACCCCGACAAGTTCAGCAACAAGTAAGTGTAAGTTCCCTTATCGAGGCAATTAATTCTTGTGATTAAAGACAAAGATATCTTACATAAGTATGTTACATTCTCCAGAACTCACGAGGAACAAACTATTTCAGCAGAGTACTCTTCCTTAATAAACAAGGCCTACAGTAGCTTGATGTCCCCTATGAAACGAGCTGAACACCTACTTCAACTAAAAGGAGAAATGATAGAAGAAAGTCAGACTGTCGATGAACCTAATTTTCTTATGAATATTATGTCGATGAATGAAGAAGTGAGTATAAAATTTACTTTTCCCAGCTGTAAATCGAATCTAATTTCTACCCTTTTGGACTTCCTTCTAGGTTGACAATGCACAAGAAGATGTAGTCAAATTAAAGGAGCTAAATGAAAAAAATAGAAACGAATTGAACAAATTAACCAAGGAAATAGATCAGCACTTTAAAAACGGCGATTTAAAAGCTGCAAAAGCAAGCATCATTAAGCTAAAATATTTCACAAGCATCAGTAATAGAATCAATTCTATATTTAGAGAAGCTGGCGTTGCAGATTAGTATTTTAAAATGGCCTCGATTAATGTCTTATTACAGTTCAATCAAACGTATGAATATTTCTTTTGGACGCTTTATCTATGGAATAAAAATGTGCAAACAATTTTCATATTTTTATTGAAAGAAAGGAGTAATTTAAATTAACATAAGAATTAGGATGATAGGCATCATAAAGAAAATAGTACATTTATACTATTTTAAAGGGAACACATTCACGGGAACAACATCTAGCCTCTGGGGGAGGCTATGATTCGTTGAATACTTATTTAACTCGGGGCATCATTGAACATTGAGGTACGTCAAGAATCGACAATAAAATTGAATTAAAACGAAACAGATTCAAAAACAACCTCCGGAATAATCACATTGTGGAATAATATATAATTAATGAGATGCTTATCAAATTAACTTTTGCTATCCTCAGATGACGGTGCTATCCACGTTAACCTTTCTTCGTAGAATTTTATGACGACTTGAGGACATTTAACATTGGCTTGTTTTGCTGGAACTAAGTCTGCTTCATCGGTACCTACCCATTTCATTAGGAACATTAGATGACCTGAAAAATTAATCAACGTTAATTTATTTCAGTGTATTACATGTGGCATTCGTTTAAGCAAAATAAGTACTGTTATCACCAACAAAAAAATGTACAATTTAGTACTAGACTATTTTAGCATATGACTGTTTATAAATTAAATATTAATCCAAGAACCTGAACTATCTGTAGCTCCAATAATTTTTTCAGGTTCCAATCCCCTTTCGAATCCGTGTATTTTTTTATCCTCTTTCGTTTTTGGCGTATCTTCGGTTTTTCGTTTCTTGCTGTTTTTTTCTTTTTCTTTAGCTGCTTTTTCGGCTTCGTATTCTTTGATATAGTTTGGACAGTCTAAGTTTTCTTCAGGTTCCCAAGTATTGTCTTTATCGTCATATCTACGATTAGAATGTGTGAGAATAAAGTATCAAAATAAGGGAGCTTACTTACCCCTTCCATTTTAATAAATATTCTTTTACCCCGTGCTCGTTTATTCTACAGTCAATAATTTTTTCAACAATGTACTCTTCTCCAGTCTCCTCGGGTTCCGGCGAGGCCTTTTTGTTTTTGCTCATATCGAAATGTGTTGTTTAATTCTAACCTCGAAATCCGGTTTTACAGAAGCATTCGAATATTCCAAATTAAAATGAATGTTTAATGTCTGTTGTTCAATGTAGCGAATCCTGGCGAATGTTTATCTGTAATACCGAGTGTGAGTTGGCGCTAATTTATTTCAAAAAATATAAATAAACTTTTTTTATAACACTTTTCAATAATAATGGCGGTTTCCAAAACATCATAACCATGGAACATAACAAACAAAACAAACTGTCATTTGTATACCATGCGGAAGATAGAACGATAACGATACAAAAAATGATTATTTTGACAAACTTTTGATTGATTTTGATGGCGATAACAACGTATATATTTGTTCATTTCGATTATTTTAGTTGAATGTACACAACTACGCAGAAGACAATACTATAATAATTTCTAACGGAAGATAAAAGAAATAAACGTTTCTAATTGGCTGTAAAAATTGTTTAATCCTAGGGATTTTTATTGCTATTTGTCATAATTCTGTCAAGAATGTCACTGTCAATCGTGTCAATCATTGCGCTCGCTCTGCTTAATTTGCGTTCTGTGTATCCTAAATACAAAAACTTGAGGCGTCTTGTTCAACAAGAACAAATTTTAAGTGAATAGTTTACTTGTTATTTCTTTTAAGCATTTCTCGTGTAAATATAGATTACTGTTGCCACCAGCTTCAGTTCAATTAGTTATTTTAAGGTAAGTCGACGGCGATTAACACGATTCGTGCGGCTTGTTGTGGTTAACCTAAAATTTAAACTTCCATTCGTTTTCAGTGTTTATAACAAATAAGTAACAATGAGCAAGAAAAGCAGTCCAGTACCCGAATCGAAAACTACAAACGAGGACGCTGCGCCCGAAGAATACGTAGTCGAAAAGATTTTAGATAGTCGCATCAATGAGGATGGGGTGAAAGAATACTTCTTGAAATGGATCGGCTACGATGAGAAAGACAACACTTGGGAACCGGAAGAAAACTTGGACTGTCCTGGACTTATAGAGGCCTTCGAAAAGGAAAAAGCAAGGAAAGAAAAAGAAAACGAGAGAAAACGCAAATTAAATTCGCTAGGAGAAGGCAAACCGGCCAAGAGAAAGAGCGAAGAGAAGAAATGCTTGGGATTCGATAGAGGACTGGAACCCGAGAAGATTATCGGAGCAACTGATAGCCCAGGTAATCAACTATTGAGCTAGTTTTGTAAACTATATGAGCAATATGATTTAATATTTCTTAATGCTTTTGTTTTGTTGAAATTGAACTAACTACAGTTTGTTAAATTATCTTTTTTGTTCATAGGACAGTTGATGTTCTTAATTAAATGGACGGGCACAGACGAAGCAGATCTTGTACCAGCAAAGCAAGCGAATGTGAGATGTCCCCAAGTGGTAATTAAGTTTTACGAGGAAAGATTAAAGTGGCATTCGCCAAATTTGGAAGACGCTAAAACTGCCGAATAATTTCGAAATGGCTGTACATGTCTTAGTCGAATAGACGTACATACACCATTCGAAATATATCCTTATTCAAAAAAAATTAGAATTAGTTAGAATAACATATAATTTGTTAGTTTTTATTTTTCAGTATAAGCGTATTGGCTGAAATGATTTAGAGTAGTGACCAATGTAATTAGCGAAAAATCTCAATGGCAATAAATACTTTTCATTTAGTACTTTTGCTGTGCACCGAATGTCCACTTTTATACAAAATATCATTTACTTTATGAAAACAATAATTCAATTGTAGTTTTTAAAAGGGATATACTATTCAACGCTTTCAGATATTGATTTTTTCCTTATATTTTTTTTAATCACTTTAGTTTTATATTCACGATTGCTTGAATTTAATTTTATGATAGTATTGAGTGGATGAGTTTGGTGAATATGTTACAGTAATTTACTGCAAATTTCATTTATCTGACTATTGTATATTAATACTAGTTTTTTTACTCTGTTCTTAACAACATCTAGAGGAATTTTGATTGGTATGATTAGATACAATGAGTTTAAATAAAAAATCACTAATTATAAATGTATAAACCATTTTGTAGTTTTAAATTCTCAGTTTCACAATTTTTGATCATTAGAATTTTTATTTGTTCGTAATTCTTATTCATATGCTTGATAGAAAGTGGGACGTTTTCGTTCATTTTTTTGTAAATATAAAACGTAAGTAAATTATTTCGTTTTATTAAAATTTCTATTTTCTTAAATATTTATCAACAGAATCTAGGAGTGGTATGGTTAAAACGAGTATTTGTTTGTACTTCAAGTAAAAGCTTTTACTTCCTTCCTAGTATTTTGTGGAGAATAATCTTCCACATGAAGTAAATTAGTAGTTTTTGGTGTGCTGTTTTAGATGTAATAACTAGAGTTTTTTTACGAAATTATAATATCGCAAACGACTTTTCAAATCTATGAAAAAAACCTAAATAAAAATAAATAAATTAAATAAAAAGTTTACAACCCCTGATGTATACGAAAACTGAGCTTCGTAAGACATACCTTTATATGAACTTTTCGACTCAAAATTAGCCCAAGAATCACCCGTTAAAATAAGTACATTGCATTAATTAACACCCTGTATACACCAACTATCAATATGAGTTCCCAAAAATTTATTAGATGGGCTGCCCATTTACCACTGTTTGGATTAAAGCAAAAAGCATAGTGCTTGATAGTAGAAAGTTACCTAAAATAATTGACTTACCGAAATAAATTTCTATATTGTACCTCTCCATACGTTCACATATTTCCCTACTTTTCTTACCATAATTCACAAGAAATGCCATTTTAAACACCTTTTTAGGTGAAGTACTTGATAAGAAGTTACCCTGTGATCAGTTTCTTAAAAACTACACTAAACACTCCCAAATGGAGAAAATGCTAGACAACATTAGTAATTTCTGTAGAATTAATTTCTATGTATCGAAGTAAATAAGCAAAGTATGAACTAATTGCTCCTAGTACTTACTTTAGTATAACTTTAAGAATTTTTTGAAGTAAATGCTATAATTTTTTTTAAGTGAAAACTACGAAATTCAGCATTTACTTAAAGTAGGTATAAGCAAATACTCCTTTTAATCATACCTCTCTAGATTTAAAAAAATAGAACCTGTACCAAACATAAAAAGTGTCCAAAAAATAGGTGACCATAATTTACTAATGCATTTTTATTTGAAAATGTACCCTTCTGGAATAAACAAACGTATGATACAATAAACGACCTAAATAAAACATAAAACTGTTCTAGATAAGGGTCATTTCACTGTTAATTTATTTACCTCCCATCAAAATCATTGTTTCTTTTGATGCTTTCACGCTATCCAGTTCATTCCTTAATAGAGCAAATGTCACAGAGAGGGCCTAAACCAACTTTTGGGACGGATCGATATCCGCCTCAATTCAAGGACAATTCGGTAAACTTCCTTTCTTTTCCTTTGGTTTATTTACAACTTCGTTTTCGTTTCCTTTCGGCGTAGTGTGCCTACTTCGATTTTCTCGCTACCGTTTACGAGTTGGTAATAATTTATTTTGTTAGAAAACGCTGTAGTAAACAGTGACGAAAAAGTACCAGGAAAATTGGATTAAAACGTTAAATTCCTAATCTTTAATTTTTCTCGAATCTCCTTCAAAATGTGCTTCTTTTGAAGCGATACACGTAGTCAGACGCCTTCTCCAATCATCGGAACATTTTTATAGGTCCTTTTTGGTGCGGTTTTTAGCTCCTGCGAATTTTCTTTGATGGCATTTATGGAGTCAAAACGAGATCTCCAAAGTGGCAATTTGAGTTTGGGATACAAAAAAATGACACGAGGCTATTTCTGGTGAATGAGGCGGCTAGTCGATGGTACGACGTTTTTGAAGAAAGTCATCAGCTCTATCGGAAGAGCTTCCGTTCGCAGCATGTCTGATTGGTTGAGAAAAATCAACCGAGCGGTTTCACGAGAGATGTAGAAGTCAAGTGCTACTTTTCTAATACTAGCATAATGATTTTCGAACTCAATTTCTTGTATTTTCTTGCTGGAATCATTGGTTAAAGAGGCCTAAGACCGTCCGAAACAACGCAAGTCTTTAACGATCTCCCGACTGTCTTTGAAAGTTTTATACCATTCGTAAATATGGGTTTTCGATAAAACAGAGTCACCTTAAGCATTTGCATCGATTTGGCCCAAAAAATTCCGTTGTAAACTCAAAATACATGGGACAAATTCTTTGCTCATTATTTTTGTCTATTGCAAAATTCGCAAAGCACTACTGAGATAAACTGATTTAATCAGCTGCTACAACCAAACTGATTGAGAAATCTCTCTAATTTTTTGCTTGCTAATTAAGAACAGTGTTACCTACATACAGAAACTGTAATAGTTGCAAATATTAAGTGCAGGTAGTTTAAATTGAATTTCGGATACATTTTTGTCACAGGTTATGTTATTTCAGGAGCGACACACCTGCATTTTCAAAAGACCCCTGCATTTTTTTAAAGATTTCCATAAGAATTCTTGCTGTATTAAAAGGGGCTGCATATGCGTTTGTCATCAATTTATATTTGTACGAGGGTTTTCAAGACCTATAGAGGGCACGGAGGGGTAGGTGTATCCTAGACCTCTAGGGCCGTACCTTAGACTATTGTAACTTTTAAACCTCCCTCGTAAATATCCGAAATCCCCAACCCCCTACCCGACCCTTGGAATCTATGGGGTCCTCTTAGAAACTTCGAAAAATTCATTGAACCTGAATGGTTCCTATAGATAGATTTTTTTCAGTAACAGATTTTCCAAAATAAAATGCTTTTATATGAGTGCATTTAAAAAATAGGAACAATTACGTAAAAAGGGAAATTACATAAAAAGTAGGAAATAATAAAAAAATTAATACCATTCAAATTGTATTTGTAGATAAGTGAAAAAATAGAAAAGTACTAACTTCTGGTAAACTCTTTCACCCCACGTTTATTAAATTTGTATTAGCCAGCGACTCGAAGAGAAGAAATTGCGTCTCGTTAGTTTCAGGTCCTGTAAATATTCACTTGTCAACATAATTTATATTCTGTCATTCACAAATCAAACCTAAATTAATCGCGTACACAACAAATTCCAGGTAAGCACATACACGATCAATTTTCAGTATTCTAATAACAATTTTCTAGCGTCTGATTGTAACTCATCTAACGATTAATAAAAATGGCGAAAAGAGCACTGATTTTATTCCCACCCGGGGCCGAAGAAACAGCACCGGTGATTGTTTTCAGCGTTTTGACAATGGGAAAAGTATAATTATCTTTATTATCATCGTCGTAGAAATAGTTTTTATTTAGTGATAACCTCAGGTGGACGCTAAGATCTGCAGCCTTTGCGGCAAGGATCCCATAAGAGGCGCACAAGGCGTAAGGATACTACCAGACATAGACCTCAAAGAAGCCCGAGAATGCGGTAATTACGACGTGATAGTTTTACCCGGAGGACCAGGCGGAACCGACGCTCTCAAATGCTCCAAAGACGTTGGAAAAATCTTGAAAGACTTCGAATGCAAGAACAAAATGATCGCTGCCATCGACACAGGCAATTATTTCTCGTATACATAGACTGTGTAGTGTAAATTTAAAACGTTGTAGGTCCGTTGGCGTTACTGGCCCACGAAGTACTTTTTGGTAAATCCCTGACGGGATATCCCACCGCGAAAACGGAATTGGCTACGAAATACACTTACAAGGAATGCCCAGTAATTATTGACGAAACTTTAGTTACGAGCAAAGGGCCCGGGACCGCGTTTTTGTTCGCCAAAACCCTTCTGGAACTGCTGACGGACAAGAAGACTGCTTGCGAGGTTGCACAAGCCATGCTTATCGAAGAGAAATAAAATATTTAACAGAAATTTTAATAAAATGAGAGGATAAATAAAATGTATTGTTATTCGGCATAAATTTTATTAACATGAGAATACGATCGATAACTCGTTGTTTTAATAAGAAAATCGCCCGCAGCCATTGGTTTAGTTTCGTATTTTCCACGAAAGTTATTCGCCGTAGTTTATCGGCTAAATAAATAAAAAAACAACGTGACCTAAATCGAAAATAGAACCGGCTCCGGTTCAACGGTGAATCAAACCAAAAGGGGGAGTCCTCTTTAGGCATACTATATGTGACAAACTCGAAAGGGATGACTCCGTAATGACCGCATCACGCACTGTTGGGGATCAAAAACGGTTTGTTGGGTTTACGTGTGATCACTCGCATTAAATGTATTAGCGTCTCGTTCGAAACGGGAATTAGTTCAACGGAATCGAACTAGTTAGGCGCAATTATTGGTATAATCTTTGCTTCTAGATTTTGGTTCATTGCGCACCATCTATGCGCATTAATGGTGGCGTAAACTTGTGGTGACGTTTTTTAAAGACCGAAGAGATCGAATTTTATCCAAAAATGTAGCATTTTTGAATGTAGCCTCATTCAAAGGAGTGCCATGGGCTCAACTCTTTGGTGGATTTCAAGACAAGACCTGAGGCTATGTTAGCTGTATTTTTCACGTGTCTATAGCTCAGCCTACAGCTAATTTTATGTGGGTTCATGAAAGTGAGTTGATAATATTCAAAATTTTTGGTCTATTTGCTGAAATATGACAAAGATTGGCAATGTTGAGCAGTCCTTGTGACGCCACATCTTAAAAGCAAACATTACCCACTATTTTATACCTAAAAATTCTAAATTTACCGACGAACCGCCCCTGTTTTACCACCTCAAACGATTAACTTACGTCGAAGTTATCTTAGTAGATCGGGTTACTTGAGACAAGAGCTCGCAAATACCGATGGATCTCGAGAACCGCCAACCGCTCGACACCGACGCGGGCGGAATTAACTGCAAGGCTTTTGATAAATTTCACGCCGACCGCAGCGCAAGTAGATGAAACTCATCAATTAAAGTTGCATGGTCCTTTTGAAACCGAACGCCCCATTTTGTCGGTACAAAATTACTATGGGCACTTTTGCAAAGGGATTAGTAATCCGTCAGGCATCAGGTTGCATAACCCATTGAGGCTTATCGTCGAGGAGCTATATCCGCTCAAGTAAAAAATTGCTCAAAAAGCTCCGCCATATATCCTACCACTTTTATTAGTTCCTATAAACTTAAGGAACTGGTTGGTGAAATCGGGTATAACATTTATCATAACACAAAAAATGGCATAGTGTAAGATGGATTTTATAACAAATAGTACATATTTAAAATTTAATTGGCAAATTTTTTGTACAATAAATTAAACAATTAGGTAAACAATTTTACGAGTCTTCCTTTAATTCAATTCCACTCGGAAAATCGCTGTTTATAAGGAGATTAATTTTCTCCTCGCCAGCTGCGGTTTTTGCAATTGAATTACGCTGCTTTTTTCGACGGAGGAAATCGCGAAATTAATTCGATAAAATCAATTAAACTAGCGTTCCTACGTTGAACTAATAAACCTGACCGAAATTTCGCGGTAAAAGTTAATTTTGTTTCAACGTTCGGCGGTTTTATTTATCGCAAAACTAACCGCCTGTTAAATTGGGCGTTAGAAAATTTCGCGAGAAAATTAGCGCGTCGCTGTCGTCGTAAATTTAAATTTTATAAATTTATTCTTAAGTCGAACAATGGGAGTGTAGCGGAGTTGCGAATTGTCGAACTTTTGATAATAAAATGTTTCTCGAATAAAGCGGTTTAAGTTGATGCGGTGGAAAGTTGAAATGAACGCATTTTACTGCAGGTTTTTAGGGTTTTTCGAACTGAAAAAGATCATTAATTTGTTGTTTTGTTTCATTTAATGCAACAAATTCGATTTAATCGCGCAAATAATCGTATAATTAATCGGTATAGGTATGATGACAATATGTATTCAGGTTGTTAATTAATTTAGTGCCGATACTTCAGGATGTGAGTATATGAATGACTCGCTTATCAGCTCGGAAAGGGGGCTGTGCCCCCTTTCAACCCCCCTTTCTTACGGTGGCGGCTTCGCCGCAAGACAGTTTCCTAGCCGGATCCTCGTTAGCTTCGCGAGCTCGGTGCGATTGAATTTTCGTTTGGAAATTAATCACACTCCTTATATCAATTTTTTAAATAACCAAGGTCTCGCTCGCTGCGCGAGCTCGGCTATATCGCTGTGTATATCAATGGGCTCTGCCGCACTAACCCGCAGCTCGGAGGCCTGACGGCCTCCTACGCAAAGGCTGTTAAATAACTAAGGTCTCGCTCGCTGCGCGAGCTCGACTAAATCGCTCTAGTTAACGATGAGCTCTGCCGAATAGACCCGCAGCTCGGAGGCCTAACGGCCTCCTACGCAAAGGCTGTTAAATAACTAAGGTCTCGCTCGCTGCGCGAGCTCGACTAAATCGCTCTAGTTAACGATGGGCTCTGCCGAATAGACCCGCAGCTCGGAGGCCTGACGGCCTCCTACGCAAAGGCTGTTAAATAACTAAGGTCTCGCTCGCTGCGCGAGCTCGACTAAATCGCTCTAGTTAACGATGGGCTCTGCCGAATAGACCCGCAGCTCGGAGGCCTGACGGCCTCCTACGCAAAGGCTGTTAAATAACTAAGGTCTCGCTCGCTGCGCGAGCTCGACTAAATCGCTCTAGTTAATGATGGGCTCTGCCGCATAGACCCGCAGCTCGAACGCCTATCGGCGTTCTACGCAAAGGCAGTTATATAGCCGGATCCTCGCTAGCTTCGCTCGCTCGGTTTATGTATAATTAACATTTCCTTAAATACGAGTCACCCTGTACTATATTTCAATTCTATTGAAAATAATTTTTCATTTAATGTTAAAAACGCTCCGTATATCAATTTTTCCGATTTCCTTAATGAAAAAACACCCTGTACATCAAATTAAATGTAAATGTATCCCGTAGTAACGGAAATGACAACTTTGACAGTTTGAAATTTGTTCATCGCCGCTGTCATAAGTGTAGTTTTTTTAAAAGTAATTCGATCGTTTCTCCGTTTTTGGTAAGTACAAATGACCAAGAAACGTACATTTTTGTGTATTATTGCATTTTCTTTTATTCTCGTCCATTAAAAACGACGAAATTGTCTAAATAACGAAAAAGTCTCTCATTTCGGTGTAGTTCCGTTTAAACCAAACGAACGGGCAACGTCCATCAAGTAATTTATTTGGAAATGTGTCAAAAGTTTCATTTTTATTCACTTTCAAAATCGAATTACGGAAAAAAACGAATTTAGCTGGAGAAAAGAGGTAGATTTTCGTAATCGGCGAATTTTTTTACGTCTCTCCATCTACCTCCCAATGCCCCAGAAACTTTTTTTTAATTTCTCTCGCCAATCAGTCTATATCCCCTGTCAAGGGTTACATCTATATATATGTAGGATTTTAGAAAAAAAAGTTTTTATCAATATATGTCCTAAACCTCTTAGTTTTCCAGCTACAGGGTGTTATAGTTTTATGAAAAAAAAAAAACTTTCTATCATAATTTTCTTAATACTCCAGACATTTTTATGAACTTTCGGATGTGGACATCACTGGTAATAGTTATAGAAAATTTATTTTTGTCCTCAAGTGTTTCCATGAATGGTTGGTGCCTACCAAATTTCAACAAAATATCAAAAGCAGTCTCAATGAACTTCGGAAAAAAATGTTTTGGTTTTTATTTTTTACGCGAATATGGTGCGTCCTACGAAATTCTTTGGACCGAATTTGCTTTAAAATAAACGAGGATCTTAAAAATATTTTTGGTTTTTAAAAAAAGCTGTGGCGTACCATTATTTCTTCAATTTTATTCAGTTCAAGGCAAAAAATTGCCTCAAAAAATTGCCTCAAAAAATGTTCCTTAATAATTAAAATGTACTTACAAACATATATTGATATGAACTTTTCTTCTTAAAATAAACCAAATATTTACTCAATTCAATAAAATTTATCTAACCATTGTAGCGGTATGTAAAATAAAAATAAATCGCCCGCACTATTTGCTTATAATTTAAAATTCCTTTTCTGGGCGAACCTTATGTAACAAAAAAACCTGGCAACAATTATACATTTTTTTACGTTTCGCTAATGTCGAGTAATTTCGCAGGACTGCCGCAGTAATTAATCCTGTGCCTCAACTCTGCTGCGAAACTTTTCAGACACCAAAATTCGAACATTTTTAAGCGATTTTCGCAGGAGGCGCTTGCTAAAATTTCGTTAACCAGCAGAATCCGTGCAGAATCCGATTCCTGCGACGCTTTTCCCCGCGAATTTCCGTTCGTATTTCCCTTCTTTCCACGTCCGAATGATTCGGAGATCCCGCGATACGGAAGGTTCAATACAAATTTGGACCTGCAGAAAAATTTATTAGAATTCGATACTAATTATTTGATAGAAATCTTGCACGTACGTGAATATGAGTATTTATTTTTAGGAAATACAAAACAATTCAATATATTGAAAATTATATGATTAAGATGACAAAAGATGACAAAGATTGCAAGAACCATGATAGATTTACAATTAATTTTCAAAAAGGATTCGACAGATTTTAATACTTTTTTTTGTTATATTTAGAAAAAGAAAGCATTCTTTCTAATGATGTATTGCACGATAAATATTCCCTATTAAAATTTTAAGGTTTGGGGTTGCTGGGGAAATGGGTGAAATAATGTGACGATGGATTTTACGTCAAAAGATGTCCTCGATATAAAAATTTCCAAAAATCTATTTTATCACTCTCAACAAAAAACCTCTGTTCCCTTTTCAGTGTGACACCCTGTGTATACTATATGTATACTATTTTTACAGTTGGTGCAAAATGAGTTTACAAAATCTAAGAATTTTCTGAAATTGTCAAATGGCAAAAAGACAAGAACAAATTGGAAATTAGGGGTACCTGTTTCA